CACTCAGTTCGCTACAGGAATTTTACCCCATATATATTTTTTTGTAATTCATTTGTTCTTGTCTTTCTACAGTTTTATTTATATTTTCTAGTCACAATTTGTCCATTTGTATTTTTAAAATTTTATCTATTGACAATCTTTATTTTATATTTTGTTTAACCCATTGACTTTAAATCTATTTTTCTTTTCTTTCTTTTGTGCTGTTAATTCCGCTTTGTCATTGAAAATCAATTTTAAGATTGTTAACGTAGAATGTCCGCAGGAATAGGCGAAGTCGCATTTGTGTGTGCAAATAAAGAAAATTAAGCTATACAGGGCACTAAAAAGCAATGAAATGTGATAATGCTTACCAATAAAGGTGAAAAATACTGTTTGTCAAGTGATTTTCTCAATATTAAATAAAATAAACAGTATTGAAAATGTGACGTAATTCCAATTCAAGAAATGATGAAGTCTAATTCGCTGACAGAACATTTTCTCTGCGTTAAAGGTAACCAAAGGTGCTTACTTACCGACAAAGGCTAGTTTGTATATAAAATAATAGCGTAAATTAATAAATTAATTAAATAAAATTGAAAGATAATCATCAAAAATTTTTTAATTCAAACGTGTTTCGAATTAAATAATTGATTTCTTTTTATTGATTGTTTCTAAATATAAAAAATATTTAAATAATTCAAATTAAATTTATAAATATTCAAATTAAATAAAAATTAAATAAATATAAGGTAAAGTTAAAAAATTATTAAATAAATTGAAAAATATTTAAATTTTTAATTAAATGTTATTAAAAATATATTATTTATAAAAAAATTGAATGTTAAAATAATAAAAAACATAAAATAATATTGTTGAATATTGTTATGTAAAATTAATAAAAAATAATAATTCTATTATAACAGAAAAATTAGGAATTTTGCAAATTTTTAAAAAATGTCAGTGTTGTAGGTAGAATAAAAAAATGCATATATTTTTTATCATAATAATTACTCTCACACAGGCAATATCGGTAAGTAAGCACATTTTTTTTCCTTTAACGCAGAGAAAATTTTCTGTCAGCGAATTGGACTTCATCATTTCTTGAATTGGAATCACGTCACATTTTCAACACTTTTATTTTATTTAATATTGAGAAAATCACTTGACAAACAGTATTTTTCACCTTTATTGGTAAGGATTATCACATTTCATTGCTTTTTAGTGCCCTGTAAATCTTAATTTTCTTTATTTGCACACTTAAAAAGTTGTACGAATTGAACTGATACAATTTCTGAATTCAGAAATCGGTCCTATTCGTCAATTTGCTTTTCTCGAATTCAAGAAACGCCAGTCCACTTTGAAAACCACTAACGTCCAATTCTTTTTTTTACAGGATTATTAACCATTATCTTAGTACCTGTCAGAAGTAAGGTGTGTGATTGTTTTATTATTTAATATTTCCATTATCTCAAGTTTTACATTAGGTAAAAAGAAATCTCGAAGAAAACTATAAAAAAGCAATGCAAACTTGAACGACTTTTCTTGGAAGAGAAGGGTCTCCATACAATATTAAAACAAAAGTTGAAATTTCATTGACTATACAACTAAAATCCATGGTTGTTACTGAAAAGGTTTAATTTTACTTATATGAGTAACTCCAGGTCAACTGTGTCAACAAATTTTCATTGATTTTCTAAAATGTTAAACCTTTTATGAAAATCTGTAGTTTATAATAAAACAAAAAAACACTTTTAACCGTTTTTTGAAATTTTAAATTTTCGTTAGTTTTTTTTGCATAAACAAAATTTTACAACATTTTAAAGAAAAATTAATAACTCAACAACCGTTTGCAATAAATTAATTAAACTTATACTGATTATATAAAAAATTGCACTCTTTTCAATGAATATAATTGCAAACTTGTAAACCTAAAAATTCGATATTGTTAATAACAATTTTATAAACAATTTATATTATTTATGTGTTCTACCCCTCTGATTGTGATGAAACTTAAATGAAGTGTACATGGCAGTCTTCTCTTTAAGTTCAAAAAAGAAAAATGTGTATTTTCTACTAGAAGTGTATTAAACGAATTTTTTAGTGTGACACGCGCCATATCAAAGTGAGCGCCTGACCTGTCTAACAGCCAAACGTGCTTGAGCTTGATGCGCGAAAAGAAGTGGTTTACATTTTTTGTCTTTTAACAAAAATTCTACTACCGTTTCTTAGTTGAATACACCTGTGTTAACCCTCACGTGCCTAAGTTCATTTTTTGACGTTCGTACCTGAGCTGAGTCTAAGGGACCCAGCTGCTTAAATTCCATAAAAAACAAGACTCAATAGCAGGATATTCAATAATTTAATTCTAAATTATAATTGTAATATTTTGCGAATATAATTGCAAATAATATTTAATCTTTTGACACTCTAAGGTTCATAAATAGCCCACAAAAAGTCGCGTTGTGGCACCTTTTTCGACAGGGCGAATTTGAGTGTACAGTAAAAAAAAAGGAATTAATTTAATTTAAGTATTTCTGGGTATTCCTAAATTACAAGACGTCTGATTACAAATCAGACGTCAGATTTGGAAAATTTAAAATGTCGGACAAATTTTCAAAAATTAAAAATATTTCCTTGAAAATAGTTACTAGGAGGTTTTCGATGTCGCTAGTTGCAAATTTAAAGTCAGTTTTTCAAAATTTAAAATGGCAGATCAAATACGTCCGACAAATTTTTAAAAATTAAACATATTTGCTTGAAAATCGTTACTCGAAGTTTTTGGGGTCGCTGATAAAGAATCCGGTGTCTGTTTTTCAAAATCTGAATCAGATGTAAGTTTTTCAAAATTTAAAATGTCGGATCCAATATGGCGGAAAGGAAAATTAAAAATCAATACAATTTACTAATATCAGATGCGTAATCAGCGATCTTGAAAACCCCTGAATAACAAGTTTCAAGCATAACCGTCAAATTTAAAAAAATATATCCGCCATATTGGTACCGACATTTTGAATTTTGAAAAACTAATATCAGATGCGTAATCAGCGACCCCGAAAACACCTGAGTAACGATTTTTAAGCATTACCGAACGATTTTTTAAAATTCTTCCGCTATATTGGCTCGTCCATTTTGAATTTTCAAAAACGGACACCGGATTCGTAATTAGCGACCCGGAAAACCACCGAGTAACTATTTTCAGATAAATACTTTAAGTTTTTTCAAAAGTCGTCAACCATATTGGATCTGCCATTTTGAATTTTGAAAAACGGACACCGGATTCGTAAATTTTAAATATATATTATTAGATTCATTTTCTTTAGATTCCTTAAAGCCTAAGTGTAGCGTAGGTTGTAGCAACCCTTCTTATAGTAATATGGCGCAGCGGTTGGCGCTAGTCACAATGAAAAATTCGTTTAATACACTTCTAGTGGAAAATACAAATTTTTTTCTTTTTTGAACTTAAAGAGGAGACTGTCATGTACACATTTAATTTTACTTACAATTCTATCACTTTTACTTTACCTTCATTCACATAAAATTCAATAATTTTGTCAATGAGCGAATCATCAGATGATTGTTCACCGATCATAAAAAAATTAAGAATTAAACTAACACTTTTCTTTTCTGTTACTTTTACATAAAATGACACTTGTGGTTGAGTCCCCGATTTCACAATTCTCGGGTCGATCATCGACTTAAATATCCTTGAAGGAAGACATCAACATTTCTAAGAAAAGCAAAGATCCACTTTTAATAACAGGGACCTGTCAAAACACTGGTTGTCGCCATCTTTCGACACACATGTTATTGTGCAGCGCCCCTATCGGTGATCTTTCGAACTATCTTTTCGACCGACGATAATTAGCCAAATTACCGTCTGACGCGCATCGATTACCATTCGTGGATCTTTTGTAACTCGGGCGAGACTGACCACCTAGACGAAGCGCGACGCGATGATGCTGACGAACAGCCACTTTTTGTTCATTCTCGTTTTGGCGTTCGCTGAAGGGTAGTAACCTGCCAAATTTAGTGTTGTATATTTTTGTGTTGGTACTAATAAAATTTTAAACCATGAGACGAGGGTTGAGAGGACGTCAGTGTATCTCTGGTGAGTCTCGAATCAATAAATAGTATCATTTCCTGAAATATCTGATTGCCTAAAAGGCGTAACTTTGGATCTTGTTCTGTATAAAGCGTCTATTTTCACAGGCCCCTTCAGGACCTGTTTTACAATAATAATAATTAAAGTGTGTTCAAAATAAATTTTTGTGATTTTCCTGACCCACCCGCTCTCCTTGTTAACAGCTGGGATAGTATATTCAATTCACTAATTAATTGGTTTGGTTATTTTCCACAAAATAACCTGGCGTCTCGGGCAATAAATAAAATAAACAAATTGTAGCGGGTATTATACATAAATTAACAATTAAATTAATTAATTCTATTAAATAAATAACTAAATAAATAAAATACATATTATAGTATATATACTGATATATATCTCTTCTTATAAGTGTCTTCATTAACATTTATTTAAATAGGTAATAAACTTAGTTACATTCATTGTACATTTTGGGACGCATGAATATTTCCTTCATTAGACTTGACTGAATTTTTGTGTTGTGGAACATTTTTAAGCGCAATTAAACAATGAAAGCAGGTTTCAATCAGAAGTTCAGGTAACTGATGATTATTTTGACAAGATTCAATTCTTCCTTTTTTGTCTTCAATTCTTTATGATCCTAAAAATTACAAATTATCTTTTTAAATAATATAATAAAATAAATATGTAATTTAATTTAGAACTTCAAGCAAAAAATTAAAAAGTTGGTGGCATAATATTTTTAGACAGTTTTTTATAATATTATTTACTATTTGTCGAAATATGCAGGTTAGATACATACTTTTCAAAATTAATTTTAAAATTAAAGAACTTAAATCTGCGTGCAGAATAAATGTGTTAACTCAACTTAAAATTTACGTTATAATATATATATATATATATATATATTTATTTCCAGGATCTGTATAGAGCAGTTGTTTCAAGGAATCCCGTAATTGACATCGCAGCTATGTATACAATATCTGACATCCCCGATTGGTAATTAAAATAATCTTATCATTTGTATTATAAGAATTATATAAGATCCTCGCGGAACTAATTTATCTAATGTCTACCTAATTGGGTAGACGTTAGGTTGATCTTAGGTATAATGTAAAAAAACTTGATAAATCAGATAAAGTTGTTGAAAAAATTGTTGAGTGGAGAAATAGACTTCTTTACAGTCCATTTCTGTATTTGTCCTGTTAAACTAATATATTATCATTTAATTATTAATAAGAAAAGTATAATTTGTCAAACCTGTCACTTGAAATATGACCATGAGAGCTATAACAATTGTGACGACCCTCACGCGAGATTTTTGACTTCATTAACAAAAACTTCAATCGCGGATACGACTCGTAAAGAAAGCACAAAAAGGAGCGAAATCACCACAGATCAGTTGATGAAAAATCAATACCAGCAATGTAAAATTAGAAGTGGACAAAAGCTATCATATCATTTATTGACAGGCTGATTTTCCTATATCTTGATTAAATTAGATTAAATGTACAACACAGGTTATTTTCATGTTATTACAAAACTTTATTTTCATATACAGTGCAATTTTTATATAATAACGTATATTTTACACATCACAAAATGTGAACGCGATAAGTACGCAATGCTCTCTGAACAGTTTTTGCTACAAGCGGCGAGGCGGGCGTTTGGCGACTGATACGCAACTTACGCGCCACTTTGAATTTGGCGAACTATCGAAAGTCCGAGAAATTCAATTTGAATGTGCTAGTAATAATAGGAGGGAAAACCATCAACAACAACATTTAATTAATAGTAAGAACTAAAATGACTTGGGTCGTTACACAATATAGGTTTCAATTCCGAAATCAAGAACGGGCGCCAAGATTTTTAAAAAGTTACAAATCATAAACATTCATGCAATATAAAATATGCTATTTTTAGGGTTTCGTACACCTTCTGTGTACCAACGGAACCCTTATAAAAATAAACTTGCGTCCGTCCCAGCTACGACATCCCTCCCCCTAGCCGCTACAGTCTTGGATATAGATAGCTGAAATTTGATACACAGGTTTATTTTCACGTGTAGATTACAGGAAAAATATAGCGAGCCCAATTGAAAGTGATGGTTACGAACTATAAAAGAAAGAAATCGGTTTTCATCGAAAAAATTGCAAAAAAAGACCCTGTCCCCACTAATGTTTATTATTACAATGAGTATATTATCGTATACTTTTATGCATATTGATGATATCAATTATTAATTCTGTCAATTTAAATAAATTCAAATGATTAATTGTGTTAACCCTTTAAGGTACGAATTAATAATCGCAATATTATCCTTTAGTCATATATAATTTTTACATTTTTAATGTCGCTGATTACGAATTCAGTGTCAGATTTCAAAATGGCGGATCCAATATGTCAGACGACTTTTTAAAAAAGCAATTGCAATTCGCTTAAAACTTCTTACTCGGGGGTTTTCGGGATAGCTGAAAACGAATCCGGTGTCCGTTTTTTAAAATTCAAAATGGCCGATCCAATATGGCGGAAGAATTTTAAAAAAATCATTCCGTATCACTTGGAAATTGTTACTCGAGGGTTTTTGGGGTCGCTGATTACAAATCTGATGTTACTTTTTCAAAATTCAAAATGGCAGAACCAATATGACGGATATATTTTTTTAAATTTGACGGTTTTGTTTGAAACTCGTTAGTCAGGGGTTTTCAAGGTCGCTGATTACGAATCTGATATTAGTAAATTAAATTAATTTCTAATTTTTCTGTCCGCCATATTGGATCCGACATTTTAAATTTCGAAAAACTTACATCAGATTCGAAATCAGCAACCCCGCAAACCCCCGATTAACGATTTTCAAGCGAATCCGAACGATTATTTAAAAATGCGTCCGGTATTTTGCATCCGACATTTTGAATTTTAAAAAACTGACATCAGATTCGTAATCAGCGACCCCGAAAACCCCTGGGTAACAAGTTTCAAGCGAATCGCATTTGATTTTTTAAAAGTGGTCCGCCATATTGGATCCGCCATTTTTAATTTTTAAAAACTGACACAGAATTTGTTATTAGCGACCCTGAAAACCCGAATATAACATGTTTTAAGTGAATTTTTTTGATTTTTAAAATTTGTCAGTCAAATATTAATTTCTTATAATTTTTTAGAAGAAAAATCAATTTGTTTATAAAAATAAAATGCAGAATATGTGAAAAAAATTATAAAAATAATTCTAGACGTTTCTGATTGTAAAAAAATATTTATGACTCAATTTTTATTATAAGTTTACAGAAATTGCATTTTTATTTTAAAAAGTACTAATATTGATGTTTTGTGAAAGTTAAACAAATTTGTTTTTATTAATTTTCAATTAAAAATTTTTTTTTACTTATTTGTATGCTATTAAGTCTGAAAACATAAAAAAATTTTTACATTTATTGGTTAGTTTTAACTAAAATAATTAAAATAAAAAAAATGTGTGACGCTCAGCGTCTTATCATACCGCAAAGGGTTAATGAATAAAAATTACTTAATTTTTCCATACATTTTAATACCTAGTTTTATTTTTGAAGTTTATTAACATCGACATTCTAATTTTTTATATAAAAATAATGTGATTTAAAATAAATTAGCGAAAATAACTCTAATTTAAAAATTACTTTTTGAAAAAAAATCAGTTAGATTAACATTAATATCAAGTTTATAAAAGTTCCAAAAAAAGTTATCAAGCAACAAAAATTTACGAAATATCACAATTTGATTATTTTTAAACACTAAAATATTTTAGTAATACTTTCATTAATTCTGTATGTCATTAATTTTTTCTTGAAAATCAAGTCATTTATGTCTTGATAAAATTTTAATATTCAATACTAAATAATTTCTAAATAACGTTTTTAAATAAGTGTAAAAAATGAAGTTTGACTTAAACAAATGTAAGTTTTTTTCTATTTGGGAATTGTAAAAAAAAATTTTAAATTATTTTACTTTTTTCCTTTAGTTTTAGAAAACTTTGAAGAAATTATGACTTTCTAGTAGTTTTATGTTAAACAAATAATAACATTCTGAAAAAGGTAAATATTTTTGAAATTCTCTTAAGTGAAATTGCAGTTAATATGCAATTATTCTAACCTATAATATTGTACGTAATTTTAAATGTCATTCAAATTAATTTATTTTAACTTAAAAATTCCATCATTTCTTATTGCAAACCTTAACATCTTCTATTATATTAAGTTAACAGATTTCTAATAGCGACACCGACTTCGACAACGGCCTTTAAAAATTTATTTTCACTTTTTTTAAAATTAAAAATCAATATCTTTTGCCACATGCATTTAGAATTTTAAATGTTTTACTGTTCGAATATTAATTGAAATTTTAACCCTAAAAAAGAGTTTGCAATTTTAATCCTAGTTTTTTTGAATTTTTAGAAATATACCTATAAAATTACTCTGTTTTTAAAATGTTATTCAAAAACAAGTTTTTTCAATTTTTTAGTCATTTTTTATTGTTTTTTTTTATTAATAAGTGTTGTTTTGCAAATTTTTGGTTAGGAACCTATAATATTGTACGTAATTTTAAATGTCATTCAAATTAATTTATTTTAACTTAAAAATTCCATCATTTCTTATTGCAAACCTTAACATCTTCTATTATATTAAGTTAACAAATTTCTAACAGCGATACCGACTAATGACGTGATGGATTATAAAGCAATTTTAAGAAATTTTTTTTGAATTCTTAAAACTATATCTATAAAATTACTCTAGTTTTAAACCGTTACTCGAAAACAAGTTTCTCAATTTATTCAATTTTTTACTAGTTATTTATTGTTTTTTTGCTTCCTCGTGGAGGAAGCTTTGTAGTCCTTTCGTTTATAAAACTTTTCAAAATGGCGGAAACAAATTTTCTTCTTTATAGAAAAATATTATATAAGATCCTGATCAATTGTCCGGATGTATGTATGTATGTGTATGTGTGTGTGGATCCCTTTTTTTTGTAGAAGATAACTTCAACAGGTTTTAATGGATTTAGATAAAATTTTGTAGGCTCATTTATCATATTAATATCTCAAATCTGACCAAAGGATTTTAAAATATACCCAAAAAAAAAAATTTTATCGTCTTTTTTCCAAAAATTTTTTTTTAATCGAAAAAATTTTTAAATAGAAAAATATAAGGTTATATATAATAAAATCGCATTCCATATGTCAAGACGAATCGATCGATATATATAAAGTATACATTTGAGGTAAATTTAAAGAATTAATGAAAGTTAAAAAATCAAAAATTGACATTTTGGCAATAAAATTTTGCTTTCTCCACGAGGAAGCAAATTTTTTTGCTGATCGTAAAGAGGAAGCAAAATGTTCATGTACTGAACATCTGAATTTACAACTTGTTTATTATTTAGTGTTGTTTTGCAAATTTTTGGTTAGGAACCTATAATATTGTACCGACGTTATTTAAAATGTCATTCAAATTAATTGATTTTAACTTAAAAATTACATCATTTCTTATTTCAAACCTTAACATCTTCTATTATATTAAGTTAACAAATTTCTAATAGCCCACCGATAAATGAGCTTGACACCGATCTTGACCTTGGAAAATTTTTGTTACATATTTTTAAATTAAAACTCAAAATCCTTTGCCATATGCATTTAGAATCTTACATGTTTTACCGTTTTAACATTATTTGCAATTTTAAACCTAAAAAGTGTTATTTTGCAATTTTAACCCTAAAAAAAGAGTTATTATGCAATATTAAGCAATTTTTTTCGAATGTTTGGAAATATATCTATAAAATTACTCTGCTTTTAAAACGTTACTTAAAAAAAAGTTTTTCAATTTTTTACTAAATACTTATTGTTTTTTTTTGTTTTCTTGTAGAGGAAGCTTTGTAGTCCTTTCGTTTATAAAAATTTTCAAAGTGTCGGATACAAATTTTTGGATCCTTTTGTTAGGGTTCCGTACTCGAAGGGGGAACGCTATTAATGAGAC